AACTGAAACTGTCCTACTTGGGTTCCAGCAGGAGGAGACGAGAATGGAAAAGACAGTAATGCTAGGCAAAGTGCAAGCCAGCAGGAAAAGAGGAAGAACCCATGTGAGATGGGCTGGCTCTCTCTAAAGGAACCCACAGGCTGGAGTTTGCAGGGCTATTGAGGACAGAACCTTTTGGAACTTGCTTATTTGTAGGGTCGCCATAAGCGCTCCATAGTACACCATCTACCTCGTAGAGAATGCTGTCAAGTCTCCTTCAGGGGGAAACAATGAGAAGAACAAAAAAGGAAAGATGGAAGGCTGCGACCAGAAGGATGACGACAAAGCTAACATAGTGTCATTAGCATAAATCTCCCTCTTAAATAAGTTGATCAGAAAATCTCTAGTGGAATCCTATCATGTAACCAGAGTATCCGCATTCAGAGATGGGCTGCCTTTCAAGGCTGATGAGCCCCACCTACCCGGCCTGCTCCCTCAAAGCATGGATGATGGCAGCGCCTGCTCCTCCTCCTCGTTGTTGTTCCCCTCAGACGGCAGCCCAGCTTTTCCCCTCTCGGCAGCAGCCTCCTCCTCCTCCTCTTCCTCCATTTCCCCCCTCATGGGTTGGGGCAAAATCCAGAGCTGGAGTCCCAGAGGCAGTTCGTGTCGTTCTGTCAACTCCTACAATGTTGCTGGAATCAGTTGTATTGGCTCTTGCCTTTCCACTGGACTACAGTGGTGCCTCGCATAGCGATCACTCCGTTGAGTGCCGAAATTGCTTAGCGACTAACTTTTTGTGATCGCAAAAGCGATCGCTTTGCGATGATCGCGGGGAAGCGATCATGGCAAAGCGACTCTTTTTTAACAGCTGATCGGCGGTTTCAAAATGGCCACCAGGGAAACAAAATAGCCACCCACTGTTTTTCCTCGCTTTAGAGGCACTGAAAATGGCCGCCCCTATGAAGGATTTTCTCTTAAAGGTGAGTTTTTAAGCCCATAGGAACGCATTAATTGCGTTTTAATGCGTTTCTATGGGCTTTTTAATATTGCTTAGCGATGAAATCGCTTAGCAGTGTTTTTTCCGGAACGGATTAACGTCGCTAAGCGAGGCACCACTGTATTTCAGCGACATGGAGGGGGGGATTTGCTGCTTGGGTAACAGCCTATCCTCCATATTATTTTACCCAGGCTTTGTGCTCTGGAGAGGACACCCCAGCTCCTCCATACAGAGCACGTTACCATAGTCTCTTGGGACTGAAGGATGCCTAAGAAGAAGAATTGTCTTCTCATGATGTGCCTGAACGAGGACAGCCTTATTTTCAACGTTTTTGCCTCCATAGGTATTTCAAATTTCATTTGATCTAGGATCCACTTGTTTGTCTTTTTGGAAGTCCAGGATATCCACAAAACACTCCTCAAGCACCACATTTCAAATGAAAGGCCAGAATCCAAAGATGGTTCAGTTTTGCACACTGTTGTTTTTGAAAAAGAAGCAGCACCCTTGCTCTGTCATCGAAGCAGGGCACTATCTGAAAAGTCAGGAGATTTTTTTAAAATCTGTTTTTCATATGATATGTTCATAGAATATTGATTTTTTAAAAAAAACCTGTACGGGCACATGGAACCCTGAAGGTATGCCTTTTGTTCTTCTTCAGGATTCTGTCCTATGCCTGTCTTTTCCCTTTTACTTGAGTACTTTTAACTATATTCCTTGCTTCACTAACAGCAAGAACAAGATCAACAACAATGCCAGAATTAGAAAAACTAACAAAATACAGAGACCTGACAATTGCTTCTAGAAACACACTTCAGTGGTCCCCGTAGTCATTGAGGTTTTGAAAACAATATCAAGAAATTTCACACAGTACTATAAGCAGTTCTGGGATGTGGTGGCGCTGTGGGCTAAACCGCAGAAGCCTGTGCTGCAGGGTCAAAAGACCAAGCAGTCGTAAAATCGAATCCACGCGACGGAGTGAGAGCCCGTTGCTTGTCCCAGCTCCCGCCAACCTAGCGGTTCGAAAGCATGCAAATATGAGTAGATAAATAGGTACCATCTCAGTGGGAAGGTAAACAGCGTTCTGTGTCTAAATCACACTGGCCATGTGACCATGGAAAGATTGTCTTCGGACAAACGCTGGCTCTATGGCTTGAAGAGCGGGATGAGCGCCGCCCCCTAGAGTCGGACACGACTGGACAAAAATTGTCAAGGGGAACCTTTTTACTATAAGCAGTTGCAGATCTCAGAAATCATACCATTATCAGAGCTAAAAAACCCCAGCAATATTTGGAACAACATAATTACTGCACCGATATTTAACAGATACTTAGTTTTTTGGTAAAGGTTGTATCTGTTATATAATACCCGGCAATGTTTTTATAATTTTGACAGTGCCTGATGTTTTATAACAACAACAACAACAACAACAACAACAACAACAACAATCCAAGTCTGAAATGTTAAAGTTCACACCTGCTATCAAACTGTTTTGTTTCCAAAAGTGTGAATTAAAAAAATTATCCACCAGAATGAAATTCCTGCACTGTAACAAATATACTGCAGCTGTTTATGACAACTTTATTACATCAGTTGGTGAAAAATGTTATCTCTTGTAGACTTCAACGCACAAAAAACCCCACCATTAGTTATGCTCTAAAATAATGCTATTCATAGCAGAATGGAAATTTTCCACACACTTATTGGATGGTGATGTGTATAATAATAAAAGTTTTATACTTTAATTTTGTTTGCTAAGAAAATTATACTTTAATCGCAGAGACCTTAATGTTAGTGGGCATGAAACTGTTCTTCTCAGGAAAATACTAGCTTTACCTATTTATCTATATGTTACTCAACCATAAGTGCCAAAAGGTACTTGTTGCTGTTTAGTCGTTAAGTCGTGTCTGACTCTTCGTGACCCCATGGACCAGAGCACGCCCAGAGCACACCTGTATTCCAGTGCCTCCCAGAGTTTGGTCAAATTCATGTTGGTAGCTTCAGTGACACTGTCCAACCATCTCGTCCTCTATTGTCCCCTTCTCCTCTTGCCTTCACACTTTCCCAACATCAGGGGCTTTTCCAAGGAGTCTTCTCTTCTCATGAGATGGCCAAAGTATTGGAGCCTGTGCTTCAGGATCTGTCCTTCCAGTGAGCACTCAGGGTTGGTTCTTGGTTACAGTTAAACACATTCTAAAAGGTACTTGGTTACAGTTAAACACATTCTAGAAATTGCCTAATTAAAACAGATGAACTCTCCAATCTCGTATGCATGGCACGGATGTAGCATCTGTATAGATGCACTTACCGTATTTTTCACTCCATAAGACGCACAGACTTTCCACCCACCCCTGTTTTGTGGGGGGAAAGTGCGTCTTATGGTGCGAAAAATACGGTAAATCTTATAGAAATAAAACAGATGAACTCTCCAATCTCGTATGCACGGCACGGATGTAACATCTGTATAGATGCACTTAAATCTTATAGAAATGTGGGTGTTAGGGACAGTGGCAAATCCCAGATGCTGAAGAAAAGGACTTATAGAAAGAATAACAATTTTGAAATTATTTTCAAAGGAAGGGAGGAATGTTAATCTTGTTCAGCAACAGCTGAACAAAAATATTATGGCACCTTTAGACATTTATTTCATTGGAGTTTTATTTCAGTGTGAACACAATTATTTTGACACAAACTAAAGTAAATGTGCTAGTCTTAAAGGTGCCACAGTAAATTTATTTTTGCTCTGGTTTTAGTTTTGCTGCAGCTTTGAAATGATTTGTTTCACTGATGGATTAATGAACACCCATAACAATAATGTGCTGTCTAGTCAATCTTGACTTGCAGCAAACCTAGCAGGGTTTTGTATAATGAACACCCATAACAATAATGTGCTGTCTAGTCAAACTTGACTTACAGCAAACCTAGCAGGGTTTTGTAGATGCAAGAGTACTGATAATTGTGGCAGCCCTCCATGTGGTGATCTGAAACCATGCAGCTTTCCAGGTGGTAGGGTATGCAACTCCCATCAGTCCAACATGTTCCAGGTAACCTCAACTGAACCTCTCCTAGGACACATAGTGTGTATGTGTGTGTGGGGGGGGGTTGAACACCTAGCTCCTGGTATTCCAACTGACTGATTTGCATCAACTCTGTAATAAACTAGGCTCCATTATTAAAAGAATAATGTTGTTTGTTTGTTTTGTTCTAAGTGTGCACATTCATTCATGAAATGGCAACTAGAAACAACCCCAGCACAAAATGTGCATGATAAAACTAAGAACTGACGAAGAATGATACTAATCATATGCCATCAATTCAGACATATGATTACCTTTTCAGTTTTTTTTTGGTAGACAATACTCCGGAGTAGTTTACTATTCATTACATTCTTCTAGGGACCGTATAGCTTGCCCAAGGCCACACAAACTGGCTCTTCTCCCTGGAGACACAGTGAGGAATTGAACTCCCAACCTCTGGCTCCACAGCCAAATACCTAAACCACTGAGCCATCCAGCCAACACCCAAGGAAGAATAGTGATTTTATTTTTTTATTTTTTGGTTAGTTTTTCTACCAAGCCATGCACTTCAGTGTTGCAAGGAACATCTTACTGTATGTTTGGACTTGCTTTTGAAAGTGTACTTAAAAATAATTCTAGCATTCATCTTGAGGAAAAGAGAAGGATTTCAACTTGCATTTCTTTTTAAAAAGGGAAATATTGATATTGATTTGCAAACTTTTCATGACTGTATATGATTATGCACACAATATGAGTACAGTGCAAAACTTTGGAAACCGAATTTTCCTTCATTTATTCCTATTGTAACCACAAAGTAATCTAAACCAACTTCTGGCAGTCTGATTCTCTCCAGATGTGTTAGACTGTAATTACCATCATTTCCAGGCCCACACGCTTGGAGAGCACCATGCTAGAGAATGCTGTTTTGAACACTTGCTGGGAGGTACAGGGAAATACTTGAGTATTGTTGTAAGTTAGCTTTCTAAAATTGTTCTGTATTTGATTTTCAGGCCAGCCAGAACACTAACATTGCCAAAAAGGTAAGATACAGTCTCCTGTGAATATTTTGATTTCTCCCCTTGATTGCATGCTCGCGTGTCAGAGATCACCAGCAAATGCCGGCAGCATTATGGTCATTTTCCTTCCAGTAGCCAACGATTGTACCTTCGCATATTAATTTATTTTTAATTATATTTGCATCCCACCTTTCTTCCAAGGTGGGTTGCATGACTTTCCTCTTCTTCACTTCATATTCATAACACTCCTATAAGCCTGGTGATATAGCAATAACTGCCCAAGGAATATAATGGCTCCTTGGGGACCTCATTGTGGATGTCCAGAGTCCCAGTCCTGTACTCCAGTCGCTCTCTTCTGTAATATAGATGCCTCATAAATCTGTGAAGTTCTGTAGTCTTTCTGTATAAGGTTTTTTATTCCTGCCAGTATTCAACTCTGAATGGTCTGTGCATATATCTTCTTTTGATTGTAAGTGAAGCTAAGGATGAATTTACATTCTGTCTATTGTCTGTGTTTTCTGGCAGTATCCTTCAATCTATAACTCCCTAGAGTTGGGCCTCATAGGTTCATGTGTCTCCAGGCCTCATTACTGCTATGGGGGGACTGACAGATTGTATATAAAATTGGAAATCTTAGTCCAAGTTACTGAGCCATGAGATTTGTTTAATGATCCCCTTGCCTCTAATTATCTCATGTGCTTTATTAAAGATAGATAAATATTGTTGATCAGATACATATACTGAGAAATGCTATGTGGTGACATAACTAATGCAAGTGGACCAATAAATCTTGTATATAAAATTGGAAATCTTAGTCCAAGTTACTGAGCCATGAGATTTGTTTAATGATCCCCTTGCCTCTAATTATCTCATGTGCTTTATTAAAGATAGATAAATATTGTTGATCAGATACATATACTGAGAAATGCTATGTGGTGACAAACTAATGCAAGTGGACCAATAAATCGGATAAATATTTTGAAAATCGAACAAGAACAGACTCGGCATTCCAAGTGAAATAAAGAAAATCTGTTCTAGAAGTTAAAATCTCCCCTCACTGTGCGTCCATGAATGATCCAAACCAGATAGCAAGTCACTGTCATCATTATTAACAAACTGGCTATCATGTAAATAGAAATAAGAAAATACTGTAATGAATTTCCCATTGAAGCAGGTAGCCCAAGTGAATGTTCCATATACAACTGGCATTGTCTTTAGCTACACAGCTAGTCCTCTGCAAACCCTATGGCAACTGGAATTGTGCTTTTATTTATCAGTTAGCTGGTCTATATAAGAAGCATTTCCCATATTATGTGTTAATGGAAGCTTCAGTGCTTTAGTTGACATCTGGATTGGAAAAATCCATCAGTTTTACTTTCTGCCACATCTGAATTTTTAAAACCTTAATTTCTTTCTTCCTGCATGTAAGATCCATGAATTTGTGTAAAATTCTTGAACATAAACTGAAAAGACATATCCCCCATTTGCACTAGACAGATTATTACTTGGCTATTTGTAATATGGTGAGGCCTATGTTACACCTGCCTTACATTATAAGCGTTATAGATTCCCCCCATTTCTGAAGAAAGAGTAGCAACTTAATTCCACACTGAAATGCCTGAATAAGCAGAGATTCAAACTCAAGACTTTTAAGAGTTAAGCATGTAGAACCCTTAGATCAGGTGCAGCGTTCTGTCAACTTTAATTTCTCCCAATCATTTTTCCCTAAAATTCTTCCTAGCCAGATGTGACAAATGTTGCAAATTTTAGTACGTAAATACTTACAGAAGGAAATCACCAAATTAACATCCATCTATAACTGACCTCCATTTCTCATCAGTGTAACTTTCCTTCAACTAGATACTGTACTGGCAAAAAGAAACTCTGTCTTTATATTTTAAGAAAGGAAATAGTAACATTTACCCCCATTCTGCCATACTGTGTTCATTGCATACTTCAGACATTAAATAGCACTAAGCTGATAAACGGACCTGCAACAGCAAAAACATTGCGCTCTACACCAGAGTGCATTCCACTAAAATCAGTAAGTGTACAAAAAGTGCAAACAGAATATTTGTCTAACTCTGGTTCCATACAAAGATGCAGAGGGAGAAAATTCCACAGCTTTGGAGCCAAGTGGGAGAATGCCCGAGGCCTGGAATTTGCCACCTTAGCCCAAGGGATCAACAGAAGTCTTCTTATGAGGAACATGTCATGCCACCAACTCTGCTAAGTAATTAGGACAGGAAAACCGTAGGGCTGCAAATGTCAGTACAAGGATTTTAAAATGTGCCCTTGATCTGATAGGCAGGCAATGCAATGCCCTGCGATGATGGGAAATATGGGAGTAACATATTAAATCTAAAACCACTTGTTCTGCAATATAGGATCAAGTGTAAAAAGAATCCTGAAAGAAATAACAAAAGCATTTGAACAAAAGAGCACTTGTGTTTGCTGATTTTGCTGCTTCAGTTCTCAAGTGTTATAACCAAGGTAGAAGCACATTCACTGTATGAAAGGATACTGTTTACTTTCTGCCCAGTTAGTCTTCTATTAAACCATGAATAATGTGTTTACATCAATATTTGCAAACATATCCCACCTGATAAATACGTGGTAGATCTGCCTTCGGTCCCTAGCAGTGGAATTGCCAGAACTCCTTTGGCATCAGCAAAGCAAGAAACCCCCACTCCCACTTCCAGAGAGGCCCCAGCTGTCATCAAGGCTGTTGAGAGAAGGAATGTGTGGCAGGGACAGAGCTGTTGTCCTGGCCTGGTATTGTGTGATCAGTGTAGTTTTGTGCTGGCAGCAGGTGCTCTCCAAGAGAATGTGGTCTATTGGTTAGACTATTTGCTTGAGAGTTCAGAGACCTTGAGCTCTAGCCACCTGTAAGATTGGGGCAGTTACATGCTGTCTCAGCCTGAGCTGTTTATTACACAGTGGGTAGACACATGTTCACTACTGCACAACATCGAATTACACAAGCATAACTTTGCCAGGCATTATGTCCAAGCAACGCAGATTGCGCAAACAGTTGTCTGTTTCCCATCCTGACTTGATTGCTCAGTGCACTGGCAGAAGTGCTTTGTTGACAGCACTTCCACCTTGAAACTCTTGCAGCTGCAGCAGGCATAACAATGAGTTATGCCCTGGTAGCTAGCTACTCAACAAGATATCAGCCAATGTTGTTCTGTGGAAAAAGGCTGGTGAAAGGCAGGATAGAAATATAACTAGTAAGTTAGTTAATAAGAAAGCCAAAAACTGCAAGGGAAACAAGATAAAGAGTTTACATCTGTGTGGGAAGGTCTATATGTGAAGCCTGTCCATACTGAGGTAGTAAATATTGTTCATGATATAAACCATTTGAAGGATTTCAGTGTTGAGTAGTGGTTTAAATGCTCCGAATTAATAAATAACACCTCTAATGTTTGAGGGGGAAAAACATTGTCTGGAACAGACTGAAAAATGGAAAGGTACTTCTTCCTGAATTATAATCTTGATTGTAAGTAAAGGTTTCAAGACACTTCTGTTTAAACTTAAAACTTTTAGATTATTTTGAACATGCTACTTATTTATGGTTTCATTTTTAAAAAAAACATTTCTGTGATTGAATTGTTTTATCCTAGATGTTTTTGTCTTTTCATAGAAAAGAGTGGTATTAATAATATATTAAGCACATTTGTTGACCTTTCTTGTTTTTGTTAACTAATCACTTCACATTCAGTTCTTGAATTGTGAAATTGCTATTTCTAAAAGTAAAGACTCTGTGGAGAGAGCCCTCCTTCTACTTTGTCTGCTTTGTGTTGTGAAATTGTCTTAAAGAGATGTCTGCCTTATGATCCATGTTAAAAATACTGCAGATGAAATATCTTTGCTGCCATTCACTAATGAAGGCTTGCTAATTCTTTTGAAACTTAAATACTTGGTTCCAATTTTTTTTTTTACAAAGAACAAGGAACCAGGAGAATTATTTGCAGTTGCAAGATGAGACATGTGTATGTGCATGGTTAGCAAACATTTACATTACAGTATGTGGCATCAGCACTCCCCTTACATTGCTGAATTCTGAGTTTCCTAGCTGAGCATGAAACTTAAAAGACCATCAAAGTTTAATAGTGTTGGGTTTATTTTGAAATAGAAATGGTCACTTTAGAGGAAGAGAGAGTTAGTAGTTCTATTTAAAAGCTTGGGCTGTAAGAGACATCCAGAAATGTTGCTGAGATTAGGGGTTGTGGAGCCTTCTGGTGAGTCAGCAATGGGAGCAAAGAAATGTCTTGAAAATGTCTTCACAATGAAATGTGTGGAATGTAATTTTGGTTAATTTCTGGTACTCCAGACAAATTTCTAGGATATAAATTTTTAGTTCTAAATATGTGTCTTTAGTTCTAAATGTGTGTTGTTTTTACCTACAGTCTAGGAATTGTAAGTAAAAGCAACAGCAGCTGACTATCTCCATTCCCCTGACTTAGATTCTCAAGAGAGAGTGACATCTATTAATTCAAATTCATTCACTCCTTGGGCTGAAATAAGATAGAGGCTCATCCAGGTTGTGGGAGCAGCACACCTGAACAATTACCATATTTTTTTCGTGTATGACAATACTTTCGTCTAAAATATTTAGATTAAAAATTGAGGGTTGTCTTATACACTTTATCCCTGCTTTGCCCCTCCACTTTTTGCGAAGAAAGTGGAGGGGCAAAACACTTTCCTTGCAAGGAAGTGGAAGGGGAAAGCAGGAATCATTAAAGCGCTTTGATTCCTGCTTTCCCCCTCCACTTTCTTAGAAGGAAAATGCTTTCCCTCTCCACTTTTTTGCAAGGAAAGCACTTTTGGGAAAGCACTTTGCTCACAAAAAAGTGGAAGAAAGTGGAGGGGGGAAGAAAGTGGAGGGGGAAAGCTGGAATCATCAAAGCGCTTTGATTCCTGCTTTCCCCCTCCACTTTCTTGTGAGGAAAGTGGAGGGGGAAAGCACTTTTCTCGTAAGAAAGTGGAAGGGGGAAGCAGGAATCATGAAAGTGCTTTGATCCCTGCTTTCCCCCTCCACTTCCTTGTAAAGAAAGAAATTTTGGGTTAGAAAAGTGGGGTCTTATACATGAGAGCATCTTGTACACGGAAAAATACAGCAATACATGCAAGTTTACCTCCTTGTCAGTCAAAATTTTCCCAGCTGTGAGGAAAGGTATGGATGATCCAAGAATAGCTCAGGATGGAGACTAATGTTGCTTTTAACATTTTCTGCTGCTGATTGTTAGACCACAGGTTTTGAGAACTTTTGTAGTGCATGTTGGTCACTAGCCTATTATTTGACACAATTCTTGGCATTGAGCTACTCTAATTCCCAATAATTGCACAGTACTTGAGACAGTAGCTGCATATTTATGAGAGCATTAAATTTCTCTGGGTAACAGCATTATTTCAACTGGAAAAATGCATCTTGTTTTTTGGCCTATATTAGCTTTGCTGCAATGTGAGCTCACTGTTTCTTATCTTTCTCTTGGTACATCTGGTAAATATGCGGTCTCCTTTTGCTGTGGTAGATGTTTTTCTAATGATCTAGCCTTAACCCACCATAGTCATCATTTTTCTCTGAAAATGAGTCTGGTGCCCTTTTATACTGTTTTACACATAATCAACTGTGCTATGCTTCCCAGACTTTACGCAGCTCGTGGGGTGTCATTCTTAAGTCGTGATAGCCAGAAAACTGGATATGACACTCCTGTGCTTAACTGTGCAGAGCTGTGGAGTGCTGTTTCCATTTATACTTGGCCCAGCGTGTTTCACTTAACTGAGCCCTAAAAAAGCAGTTTTTCTTTTTTGCAATGTAATTACATTAAAATCCCTTTAAACTTCCATAGAAGAGCCGGAGCCCAGCCCCTCTCAGGTTCTAATAAGACCGAGAGTTTATTTTTGGTATTGAATTTGGAAACATCCTGACCAGACCAAAAATAAGAACTTGAGGAAGAAGTTTACAGATCAATGCTTTGTGCTTAGTCTAGTTGAATCATTTTATTCAAAATGCTGCTTTAAAAAAAAAAATCTAAAGGTGCTTGTTTCACTTAACTGAGCCCTAAAAAAGCAGTTTTTCTTTTTTGCAATGTAATTACATTAAAATCCCTTTAAACTTCCATAGAAGAGCCGGAGCCCAGCCCCTCTCAGGTTCTAATAAGACCGAGAGTTTATTTTTGGTATTGAATTTGGAAACATCCTGACCAGACCAAAAATAAGAACTTGAGGAAGAAGTTTACAGATCAATGCTTTGTGCTTAGTCCAGTTGAATCATTTTATTCAAAATGCTGCTTTTTGTAAAAAAAAAAATCTAAAGGTGCCAGAATGGATTGAATTAAATAAATAGCAATTACTACTGCTTTTTTGAGCCAAATAAATCTATTTTTGACCGTACCAGAAATAGTAGAGAGTTACACCAAAAAGTGGAGGGACAAATGTACCTTTTTATTAGACAGAACAAATATGTATCAACTGAAATGCTGTTCAAAACCGATATGAAATAAGAATCAAACAGGAGGATGAGGGATTGGTTAAAAACCAAGGACTACATGTACTACAAGTCCCATTTCCTAAAAGGTCCACAAGCTCATTAGTATTTCACTTTGTGAAGTCTTCAGTTATATGTGTATGATTCAATGTAGTACCATTTCAATTCAGCAAATATGACGATAATCATCTTAAAGCAAACTGTGTGCATGAAAAGCAACAATGAAAACTAACCTATTTTCCTTACTTCTTTTTCTTTTCTGGAAGCAATCTTCTTTTAATTGCTGTTTTCTCTTTTGCTCTAGCTATGCAGCTCTCATAGCTGATTGGCCTGTGGTGGTTTTAGGCATGTGTACTGTATTAATTGTGGTGTGTGCACTGATTGGAATACTTGTCCCAGATCTTCCAGACTTCTCTGATCCGTTGCTGGTAAGTAAACATTATTATCTGGTGCTGTCTGAACATTGTATTGGTATATTCTTTTCCCAGAAATAATGGTAAGCAGAGAGCTATAAAGAATTCTTAGTGAATGTTTTTATATTGCTATCAAATACAGATGTGCACAAATGCCAAATTTGAATATTTATGATGTTTGGTAGTTAAGTCCAGATGTCTTCGAATATGTCTGTTACAGCTGCCGAACCTTTAAATCAGTACCAAAAACGCTGAAAAGACCTCTTCCAGCGGCACCTCTAAAAATAATTTGAGTTTGGAATTTACTTAAGAAAGCAGTGCTAGTAAAGGTTAGATTATTATCGTATTGGTTTATTATACAGTAATTACTAAAGTATAGACTGCTAATGCCACCAATGTCTTGAAGTTGAAGAGCTTTGTGCTCTTACTGGAAGAAAGTAGACTGTTAGGGAAAATGAAAGAAGAAAGTGTCAAAGCAGGATTGCACCTGAACATGAAGAAGACAAAAATCATGACTATAGGAGAACTGCGTAACTTTAACGTTGACAGTGAAGAAATTGCAATAGAGATTTTATATATGTTGGTTCAATCATCAGTCCTAATGGATACTGCAGCCCAGAAGTCAGAAGAAGAATGAGACTAGGAAGGCCAGCCATGAAGGAACTAGAAAAGATCATTAAGTGTAAGGATGCGTCACTGGAGACCAAGACCAAGACCATCCACATTCTTGTATTTCCAATCACCAGGTAAGGATGTGAAAGCTGGACAGTAAAGAAAGCTGACAGGAAAAAAAAATGGATCCATTTGGAATATGTTGCTGGAGGAGAGCTTTGTGGATGCCTTGGACTGCCGGAAAGACAAACATGTGAATCTCAAATCTAGCCTGAACTATCTATGGAGCCAAAATTGTTGAAGCTTAGGCTGTCCTACTTTGGGCATGTCATGGGAAAGCAGGATTCTCTGGAAAAGACAATGATGCTAGGAAAGGTGGAAGGCAGACAGATTGATTCTCTAAAGGAACCACAGGCTTGAGTTTTCAGGAGCTGAGCAAGACTGTTGTGGATAGGACATTTTGGATAGATTTCATAAAAGAGATAAAGCTCTTCCTTAATTATGAATTGCAGTGGGAGGGATCAGTCATACCTTCTTGCATTTGAACTCCCATGGTAAAAATGCATATTAGCAGAAATAGGAGGCTACTTTTGAAAAAGACTGAAAATAGAACTACCAATATCATTCTGCCTGTATACAAATCCATTGTATGATCAAACTGGAATTACTGTGTATGTATAGCTGTGATCACTTCACTCCCCAAGAAGTAGTGTTACAGCATTTGGGGCTATGTAGATTAGTAGGAAAATATTTTTTTCCTCAGCTAAACAGCTCCAAATGTTTGTTTGTTTGTTTGTTTTGTTTTGTTTTGTTTTATTTATTTATATCCCGCCTATCTGGTCGGTTGTGGCCTTTCCTCCTGGGTGAATTCGTTCAGCTTCTTGTATCATTTTGGTTGCAATTTATGGTACTTGTCATGGGAAGACAATAATGCTGGGCAAAGTTGAAGGCAATAGGAAAAGAGGGAGGATAACATGAGATACATTGACTCAATAAAGGAAGCCACATCCTCAAGTTTGCAAGACCTGAGCAGGGCTTTTAGTGATAGGACCTTTTGGGGACTGTTAATTCATAGGATCACTATAAGCCAGAAATGACTTTTGAACACATAACAACAAAGAGAGGGAGAACCAGGATTCATGCAATACAATGAATGGTGTGAAATTAGAGGGAGAACCAGGATTCATGCAATACAGTGAATGGTGTGAAATTCAATATATAATTTGATGGCTGAAATCCCATTGCATAATAAATTGCATAATAAATAGACCCATAATTGCATAATAAATAGACCCATTGAATTGAGGTGGCAGGGGGTGGGATTTGGTGAGTCAACTCCTAAGTTTCATTGATTTAAACGGGCCTGCTCTAACTGTGGCTTACTTTAACACAGTAATTCTCAGAGTAGGCCCATTTGAACCTACGACAGAGGAGCGGAGCTGACTCACTAAATCCCCATTGATTTACGGGACCACTCTAGTGCAATTTACACAAGATTGTGGCCACTGTTTTATCCTTATGTTATGCATGTTCCAATGTGTTGATGTTTCCTGTCCCCATTTTGCATCATTGATTGATGAAGCCAGGAAGATGTGCAGTGTATGGACAAATCGTTAGTTTCTTTTGTTGTTGTTGTTAGCTGACTCACTAAATCCCCATTGATTTACGGGACCACTCTAGTGCAATTTACACAAGATTGTGGCCACTGTTTTATCCTTATGTTATGCATGTTCCAATGTGTTGATGTTTCCTGTCCCCATTTTGCATCATTGATTGATGAAGCCAGGAAGATGTGCAGTGTATGGACAAATCGTTAGTTTCTTTTGTTGTTGTTGTTGGTTTACCCTCAGGATATAAAGCAATTTCATTCTAAAATTGTTATCAGTAGATAAAATGTTTTGGAATAAATCTGATTCATCAATTTTACCTGTTGTTTTCCTGTGAAGTCAAAGAATTGTGTGTATTTTAACAAGTTCCTAATGTTTTCATTTAGGGTTTTGAGCCTAGAGGGACTGCTATAGGGCAGAGACTGGTTACCTGGAATAATATGGTGAAAAACACAGGCTACAAAGCAACTTTAGCCAACTATCCTTTTAAATATGCAGATGAACAAGCTAAAAGGTAAGGACCTTTCCATCGTGTTTTCTTTTATTCTCGTTTTGCATTGATTATTTACATACCGAATAGGCAGATGTATGAAATAAAATTAGGGTGTTTTAATAAACCTTTTTTTGCTACCGTATAACTAAAACAGCTTTGCACATTTTAACATCTGGCTCCTTTAACCATATATCCAATGTTAATATGGTGGTGTGCTACTGAAGTTTACTCTGTTATAAAAACTATTTTGAATATTTAAGCTCTTAGCTATGAAGTCATCTAGGCATCATTTATTTTCTTAGGAAATTGTGCTTTCTACAGTTAATGTAAGAATGGGACAGTAATCCCACCATTTAGGATAAACAACATCACTGGCATCTTGTTTTGCTTCTTTAATACTATTTTTATCAGAGTTCTTTTAAGGATAGAAGTGTTCCTAAGTGTTAAATCCACTGTCATGTGAGAAGATTTCTTCTTGAGCAAAGGGGCTTCTCGTTGGTTATATTTCCCCTCTTTAGCCCCTATGTATGCCCCAGATCTGCTCTGGAGGATTCCTCAACTCTCTGGAGTTGATTGGGAAGGGCTCATAGCATTCCAATGGCAGAAGTTCTGTATTTTGCTGCAGTTGATAATGTTGTGTGAGGCACCACTGTATTTTGCTGCAGTTGATAACGATCATTTATTTCTTGCCTCAGTCTGCATTTGACTGAGTTGCCTCATAGCTCCTGTTAAACTTAGGGGTTAACTTTCTAGATTTCTTAACAGCACTGGTTTTTCTTCTTCGTACATTTATTATTGAAACAATTTAATGAAACTGTGCAATTGGTTTCAGTAGTGTCATTTTAAGATTGAAAAACAATTGTTTTCCCTTAGTCATCAAGATAACAGGTGGTCAGATGACCATTATGAAAGAGAAAAAAGGGACACCGACTGGAATTTTCACAAGGACAGCTTTTTCTGTGATATTCCAAGTAAGTTGATCAGTGTTAAGGATATGAAATAATTCTTATTGATTTTCTATTCAACAGTTCAGAAAAATTTGAACTAGTGACCAGAATCCTACTGCAGATTTTCACCTAGATAAGGGAAATCGTATCAGTATTGGTAGCAAATTGGCACTCCCTAATGAGGTGCACATGCACAAGAACACAGCCAGCAACATAATGAGTGGCAGTTTGCTATCAAGACCTCCATGCTTTCTTGTACACAAGTGTAAGCAGCAGTAGCTTTCTGGCCAATATTTCACATGTCATTGGTATTTTCTATCAAGCTTTTCCACCCATGGAGTGTAACAGATAAAGAGTATTGGACTAGGATTCAGGAGACCTGAGTTTGAGTCCATGGCTTAGCCATGGAGACTCACTAGAGATGTGTGTGAGTGTGTGCAACTGGCAAAACCTTTCCTTAAATACCTCACTTCAAAAACCACATTAGAGTTGCTATAAGTCAGTTCTAACTTGATGGCACATAATGACAAGAGTATTCTCCCTACCAGCCCAACTGGGACAAAAATACAGAAGTGTCTCTTTTTCCCACTGAAATATTTCCTGGTATTAGATTTTTGCTTCCTCTCCAGCTGCTAGTTGTAAGGTTTGTGGGGTGGGAAGAAGCAATATTGTTTTTTACTGCTGGAAGTATATGGATAACAGTCTGAATAGTTTTCCACCTCTTTTGTATCCTCACAATAAAACTATAAGATAAAATTAAGCCCAAAATGACAGTCAAGGTACAATTGCACTGAAAACACTTTTTTGAGGTTTTCTGTTTTACTGTATATTGGCAGTTGCATAGCTTCCATAGTTCTGTAACACCAGATATTTTCACAAAATTTCAATTTCATTTTTAGGTGATCGCTATTCACGAGTGGTGTTTACATCGGCCGATGGAGAGAACATGTGGAATTTACCTGCAATAAAATCAATGTGCAATATGGATAACTTGAGGGTAAATCAAAATATTTAACTTTATTGTGACAAAATATGTATTTGAAAGAAAGTGTTTTCTCTTTGATAATTACTAATGGCTTGCTTACTGCAGAATAAGCAGCAGACAAAGCCATCAAGGCAAAGCTAAATGCCTTATTCTGTATTAAGGCTGCAATCTGACAGTTCTCCATAGTCTTGAAAATGCCATCTGTTCATTTTATCCATCATTTTTAACTTGGAAAAATTTGTTGTGTGAGAGGGGCAGGATTTAGCACAACTCTTCACATCAGCATTTGGTTCCCCCCCCCATATACATATAACTTCTGTTATTTCTTTTCCCAAAACTAGTCCAGAAAACATTTCTTTTTCGATTTATAATCTTCTTTAAAGCAGTTTATTAGCTTTGGGCTGTTTGTGATAAATTATGTGGCTCTTGGTTGCATCGTGACACTTGAAGGGAAATAGGATGGTGATAGGAAATGGATATATATGTGTGCAATAACTTTTGTCAGTGCCAAGAAGAAAAATCATGATAATTCAGTCCAGATCATAGTCTTCTGAGAAAGCAACATTTACTTCCTCTTGAGTGCAGAAGGAGATGAACGAAGACACTTACGGTAGGTCTTGACTGCTCTAATCAGCAGAGAAAGTTTTCCGTCACCAGAATAGTCGGGACCTTTTTAAATTCCCCCAAGGAACCAAAATAGAAGAAGTGTCAGGCAGTCTCAGGGTCTTCACAACTTCCTCTTATATGTGCTAGAAAGCCCTGCACACATTTGAGACTGTAATCTAACTGAACTGGTTGCAAGGTAGAATTGAAAAATATATGTTTATATTATGTATCTTGGATGAATTGTGAGCTTGAGAGCCTCTGAAACCACAGTGGCTGGCATGATTTGACAGGTGTTGGAGCCTCTGGATTGGTAATCTCACTTAAACAGAGTTTACAGAATTCTTTTGGACTAAATTAATAAAGCCTGAACAAACTCTCTACATTAATGTGGACTGTGACTTCTTTATCTGAGTAAAGAGCAAGGCAGGCTGTATTCTAGCAAGTGAAGTCACAGGGGTCATCAGACAGGCCAAGGAATCAATCCTGAAAACTGGCTAAGAATGACATTTCTTACATTACCCTAAAGGGAAGATGCCTAAATTTATAGTGATTACAGAACAGATGAACTATTTGGTTAATGAATCATTTGGTCAAGATATTCTTAAATATAACACCTGGCAGAACGTGTGAGAAATGTGAAGAAGAGGCGGAGACATGCAGCTTGCATTCATTGGACTCACTGGCATGGCAGTGGAACTGGTAGAACCACTCCTTAAATATCTCACTTACCTTGGAAGCCCTGTTAGGGTTTGTTATAAATCAGTTTCAACTTGACAGTACAAAACAACATGTCCATTTAGTTTGGGATATGAGCTTACATAGTCACCTTGCAGCTGCCCAGCTCCCCAGCTGTAGCCTTTGCAAAAGCCACTGTTCATTGTGGCAAGCCTTTACCATGCATGCTCAGTGTTATAAGAATTTGCTGTTTCTCCCATTTGAAAGACCTTTTTGAAGGACCAATATTTCAGCTGCTACAGCCTGGATTCTTTCCTAATAAAGAAAAGTGACTGGGGCCAACAATTCTCTTTTATGATAAGCAAGATTGATCTTATCCTTTTTTTGAGAGCTAGCTTACATCTGGAGTAACGGGGTCACCTATTTCTGAATGGAGGGAAATAGTTTTACTTTTTAAAAATCACAACTTGAAAACCTTTGTTCAAACTTCCCCAAATTTGGCAAGATGCAGGAGCGAACTGTACGCTGCAATTGTGCCAGATTTGGTGTTGATGTGAAGCCCAGTTAAAAAGTTGTACGTTTTTGTTTGCATTGCCCCCAGTGTTAGGATTGCCTTCTAGAATGTTGATTTGCTCTGCTGCACAATATCATTGCTGCACTCTTGTGCAACTGTAATGATTCTTACTGTATTATCATTTTAAAACACGCATTAGGGTTATGATAACATTTATTCTAAAACAGTGGCATTATTTTAAGCCAGATAACAATTCTTCAGAGTATTTGTTTATTTAAATATACCCCCCCCCATATTCCAAATGTCTGAAGAAGAAACAGTGCTGTGCAGATATAAAAAAGGTGTCTCAGAAAAGATGCAGCTCTGAAAAAGGAGACTGGAATGGACAGTGCATAATGAACAACCTGTTACTATTTTAACCATTTTAAAATTCTCTGACTATACCGTTCATGCCATCTGGAAATGCACGTGAGTTTATGTTGCAATTTAAAAACATCTTTGGTCGATTGCAAACCTCTGGATGTTTGAACTGGTACTTTGCACACTAATAAGGAATCAATGTCTTTTGTAGTCTTTAATCTTTATTGAAGTCTCCACTTTTGGCTGCTTTCCCTATCTCTTTTCAATTCATGTTCCTTTTGTACTGAAGTCAGTGCCACTAATTCTAGTGGAAGCAAATCCAACTCTTTGGTGTTTTGAAAGTTAAATCTAAGGACTAATTTAAGGTTTAATGTGTTTCCCTCAGCCTTTCTGTGCCATTGTGTATTTCAGTGGAAGCTTTGATGACACATTCCCAGCATGTCCATAAGAGTTCAAAATATTATAAATTGCATTTCCAGCTGTTATACTGTTCAAGCACCAGTTGTCTTGGCGTGGTGTATCAACTTCAATCATCTGGTTTACTTGTATTTAGGATTATATCCTATAAATGCTCCACATATGGCACCCTCATAATCTTAATGGTAATACCATATGCAAAGTAGTTATGGGACCCAGCCCTTATTTTATATGTTGCTAACATTTAAACCTTTTCTAAAATCAACCATGAGCTTGAAATTTTAACTGAGCTTGGAATCTTTTTGGAGCACTTCTTACAAGTGAGTACCCAATTCAGAATACAGTGGTGCCCCGCTTGACGACGATAATCCGTTCCAGCAAAATCGCTGTAGAGCGAAATCGTCGTCAAGCGAAATTAAAAAAAAACCACTGAAATGCATTGAAAACTGGTTCAATGCATTCCAGTTGGGGAAATACCTGCTCATTTTGCAAAGATCCTCCATAGGGCGGCCATTTTCCGATGCCTGTATAGCGAGCAATCAGTCCTGAAAACAGTGGGGAGCCATTTTGCACAGTAGTTGGCCATTTTGAAAGCCCGACAATCAGCTGTTTTTGATGGTCGTAATGCAAAAAAACGGTTCCCAAAGCAGGGAACCGATCGTCGTCAAATGAAAATCGCCCATAGAATCGTTTTGAGATTGCAATAGCGATTGCAAAAACATTGTCATCAAGCATTTTCGTAGTATATCAAGGTAATCGTTAAGCGGGGCACCACTGTAAATCCTATAACAAGTAGATGCTTTTATGACTGTACCTATCCTGCAGTTCAGTACAACTTTAACTCCATGACATTATCCTGGTACAGTGGTGCCCCGTATAGCGACGTTAATCCGTTCCGGATTAACCATCGCTATGAGAAAACATCGCTATACGGATAGGAAAATG